GCAGACTAGCATACCACTCTTTCTATTCTAGCGTTAGACAGACATCATGAAACATACTGAGAGTAGTATGCTAGTACGCGATTCCGAAATCCGCAAACGAGCTCTGAATCAGTCGGACAACTGAATCGTTCACTGAAATGAATCAGATTTCGGATACGGTGGTGACTCACCGTCAGCTTCCCGAAAACAGGAAAGAAGTGGAGCACTTACAGGAACAAACCTCAGCGAACAGCCACGATTCAAGAGAGAGTGTGTGTGTGTGTGAGTGTGAGTGTGAGAGAGAGAGTGTGTGTGTGAGTGTGTGTGAGTGAGTGAGTGAGTGAGTGTGTGTGTGAGAGAGAGAGTGTGTGTGTGTGAGTGTGTGTGAGTGAGTGAGTGAGTGAGTGTGTGTGTGTGTGTGTGTGTGTGTGAGAGAGAGATCTGCAGCTGATGTGTGTGTGATCTGCATGTTCTCAGGTGTGCTGCAGGTGATGGACTCCTCAGGTGTTTCTCCTGGGCTTCTTCACATCAAGCTCCTCACACTGGTGCTGATGCTGGGCTTCAGTCTGCTGTGTGGATTCAGTCCTGTGTGTGTCACGAGACGAGCCACACGCTTCAGCTCAGATCCAGGTCTGATGAGGATGAGGTTGATGAAGCTCACATTTCACTCTAGTGTCAAAAAACTATAATAGGAACTTTCTCACGAGCAGTGTTGGGAAGGTTACTTTGGGAATGCCATAGGTTACAGATAGTTACAAGTAATGTAACTATCTGTAACAAGTAATGTAATCCTCCGTCACTTGGTTTAAGAGTATAATAATCGGATTTTAAAGCACAGCCACCACAAAATCAGACTTTAGCACCTCACAGATTTAAAATCATAGCAAGAAATAGTTTAGCAGCTGTGATGCTGGTTTTGAAATCATATCTTTGCACAGAGAAATGCCTTGGAAAAAAGAGTTCATCTTAAAAAATGTATTCCGTTACATGTAACTAGTTCCTGCTCATGCCTGTAGAACATGAATGAAGCCCGTCCTGTTCAGACAGAAGGATTCGTGTGTGTCTGTGTGCTTTAGGCTCTCGGCAGAGGGTTTTGAGTCTGGCGTCGTGTCTGGCCTGCGGGGTTTTTCTGGCCTCCTGTCTTCTAGAGCTTCTGCCGGACTTTCTGAACCACATGAGAGACACCTTCAGCCGTCTGCACATCACCGTGAGTCTGCTCTGATCACCGCAGCACATTCTGGCTTAAAGCCGTCTCTTCTGCTCATCAAGGCTGCATTTATTTGATCATAAATACAGAAAAAAACAGTAATCTCGCTAAATGTTTTTACAATATAAAATAATGGTTTCTATTTTAATATCCTTTAAAATATAATTTATTTCTGAGATGCAGCGCTGAATTTCCATCATCATTACTCCAGTATAAAGCATCACATGATCTTCAGAAATCATTCTAATATGCTGATTTATTATTAGAATTATCAATGTTGTGCTGCCAAATATTGTTTTGGAAACTGCGATATTTTTTCAGGATTCTTTGATGAATAAAAAGTTAAAAAGAACAGCATTTATTCACTTATTCAATTATTTCTAACAATATAAATCTTTGCTATCACTTCTTAACAATTTACCACATCCTTGCCGAATAAAAGTTTTAATTTCTTTCAAAAAAAGAAAGAATAAATATGTACTGACCCCAAACTTTTGAACTGTAGTGTATATTGTTAGAAATAGAGATTTCTATTTTAAATAAACGCTCTTCTTTTTAACTTTTTATGCATCAAAGAATCCTGAAAAAAGTATCACAGGTTCCAAAAAAAATATGAAGCAGCAACAGTTTCAACACTGATAATAAATCAGCATATTATACTGATTTCTGAAGATCATGTGACACTGAAGACTGGAGGAATGATGCTGAAAATACAGCTGCGCATCACAGAAATACATTATATTTTAATGTATATTAAAATGGAAAAACGTTATTTTACATCACAATAATATTTCACAATATTAAATTTGTTCCTGTATTTTTGATCTAATAAATGCAGCCTTGATGAGCAGAAGAGACCCCTGTAAAACCGATATTCTCTCTCTCTCTCCGTCCGAGCGCAGCTCCGCTTCCCACTGTCAGAGTTCCTCCTGGCCATGGGGTTTCTGCTGGTGTTTGTGCTGGAGCAGATGCTGCTGGCGTTCAGAGAGCAGACGTGCGAGGCGTCTCTGGAGAAGCAGGCGCTGATGGACTGTGAGGACCGAGACGCTGTCCACCGCAGCAGGACCGTGGAAGATGGCCGGAGTCACCTGGGTCTGCGTGTGTTCCTGCTGCTCTTCTGCGTGTGTGTGCGTGCGTTCCTGGAGGGGTTGAGCCTGGGCTCTCGGCGCGAGCGTCTGCTGGAGGAGTGTGTGACGCTGCTGCTCTATAAGGGCCTGCTGGCCTTCAGTCTGGCTGTGCGTCTGAGCCATCTCGCTCTGCGCCGGACGCTGCTGTCCGGAGCGCTGCTGCTGTTCTCTGTGGCCTGTCCAGGTGGGATCGGGATGGGGATGGGGATGGGTCTGGATGGGACAGAGACCGGGGCTCAGCTGCTGCGCTGCGCCGTCGAGGGTCTGACCGCCGGGATCTTCCTCAACGTGAGCCTGCTGGGATCCCTGCGGCAGGAGTCCGGCTCTCCAGGGCATCGCATCCATAAAGTGGCTTTCCTGCTCACCGGCTTCGCTCTGGTCACCGCCGTCCTGTTCTGCAAAGTCTGAAGCAGAAGAAATGGGGTTTGTATTTGGAGCTGGCCTCGGTGATCTGAGACAAAATAAAGCAATAAGCTTTAAGAAGCTTCGCGACGTGCCTAACAACGCCCCTTAGCTGTTATAAATTCACTGTAAACCACAGCTTCACGGGGATTATTGCTTTTATAAAACGGTTATTCCATATACGTAGTAAGGTTTCACAAAATAAAACAGAGCAAATAAAGTGTAATGATATTAATAAACACAGTATTCTTCCACCAAACAATGTAGCGCCTCAGAAACAGTTGTGGTTGCTACAAAGTGGTTGCCGAGCAACACACAAACGTAAACAAAGGTGTGTGTTACTTTGTAGCGTCATTTACAACAGCTTCGAACGCGTCTCAGCCAATCAGAGCCAAGCACCGGAACTATCTGTTTTATAAATGTGACCCTGGAGCACAAAACCAGTCATAAGTACGGTGGCCGAGAGAGCTCAACGCGCTGCAACTTAAGAA